TTCTCCTACCCTATGAATGATAGGAGAATAATATCAGTTTCATCAATGACATCAGAGAAGTGGAGAATCAGCAGCAAGGCTAGTTGTTGCTATACAGAAGTAGCGAGAGCATTGTTAGTTTGGACAAAATTTAAAGGACGCCCTGCATGACGAATTTGTCTCTGGATTATGCAATGACTAGATCTAGAAAAAGTTATTGCAGTATAAGTGGTTATATTCAAAAAGGCTGTTGACGTAGCAATTGAAATGGAATCCACAGAGAAGGATGGCTCCATCTGAATTTGTGGAGATTTCAAAGTGACACTGAATCCAGTTTTATGTGGTGACCACTACTTATCTACTACCATTATCCACTACCTCGGATTGAAGATTTGTTTGCTACTTATAGTGGAGACAGTGTTTCAATAAATTGCATTTGCTCCATGCATACCTACAGATAAAGATTGTGAGATATTTTTGAGATGCCAAATCAACACACAAAAAGGTTTATTTTATTACAACACATTTCCTTTCAGTATCACATTGGCACCTGCCGTGTTCCAGACAGTCATGAATGGGATCCAGTTCTGAATGTAGATTAATGCTATTTGGATGACAGCCTTTTACAGGAAAGAAGCAAGACGATCAACTTCAAAATTTGGACGCTGTTTTATAACATTATGAAGATGCAGGATTAAGAATATATCAAGAAAATGTGAGTTTTTTAAACTTTCACTTGAATACCTTGGTCATGTAACTGATTCCATGAGCTTAAGAAAATCACCAGGAAAAAATATGGCGGTTCTTGAAGTGCCACTGCCAGAGAACATGTCACACTTTTATATTCATTCTTAGGAGTGCTTAACACCTATGGTAAATTTCTGCCTAATCTGGCAACAATACTGGAACCTTTACGTGAATTTACAAGCAAAGAAAAAATGGAAATGGACTAAAGAGTGTGAATGTGCATTTAAGAAAGCAAAGAAATTTGACATCAGCCGGAGTTCTTACAGGCTTTGATGCTTCACTACCACAGCAATTGGCTTGTGATGCTTCACTATATAGCCTGTGTGTACCTTTTCCCACCTTTTTTCCTAATGGCATGGAGAAAAAAACGCATTTGCATCATGAACACTCTCTATTCCTGTGAAGAACTATGCACAAATAGAGTGAGAAGCTCTCAGTATTATCTTCAGAATTCTGACATTCCATACTTATCTATGTGGTAGACATTTTTCCTTGCTGTTGAATCATCCCACATTAGTTTCAGTTTAAGAACAGGGAATTCTGTCATTCGCTGCTGCTTATATGCAATGATAGGCATTGATATGTTCAGCTCATTCCTATACTATTCAATTCCATAAAAGGATTCAGATGCCACTCCTGCCATTCACAAGCTCCTGTCTTCCCAAAGCAACTTCAGACAAAACATTTTATCTCAGCTTGATGGATAAGTTATCCATTAATAGCACAGACATCAACAAAGAAACCCCTAAGGATGATGTGCTTTCTCTTTTGTGAAGGGAATGGTAACACAAGGTATAGCATTGGATCAAAAGAATCCTAAGTTTACAAAATTCATGTCATGTCAACATGAGTTATCAGTGAATCACAACTACATCTTATGGGGAATGTTAGTGATCATTACCAAATCACTTCAATCTCAGATTCTAGAAGTTCTTCATGAAGAACATTTTGGCATTCTAAAGATGAAGACCATAGACTGGAGTCATGTCTGGTGGCCAGGAATCAAGAATGGTATTGAGAGGAAGGTGAAGTGCTGTACTACGTGTCAGCAAATTTAGCATGATCCTGGCCCAGCTTGTCTACACTCTTGGTCATGGCTTTAGACTCCTTGGACACATAGTCATGTGAACTTTGCTGGACCATAGAAGTTTATATATTTTTGTGCAGAGTTGATGTCCACTCTAAATGGCCAGAAGTTTACAGAACAACTTCTACTGCAACTACCAAGACCACTGGACATCTTTGTAACCTGTTTAGCCAATTTGGTTTTCTCTTACAGTTGGTGAGTGACAATGGACCTCAGTTCTGTTCTGAAGTTCCTACCTTCAAAAGTAATTCTGCACATATACTTTGCTCCATACCGTCAACAACTACAAACTACAAATGAACTAGCAGAATGTTTTGTACAAGTACTTAAGCATGCCTTACAAGCTAACAAGTCTATCTTAAATCAACAGAAATTGGACACTTTCTTGCTTGTCTACAGGAACACACCTCATGCTACTTCCCAGGAATCACCTGCTACTCTTTTCTTGAAGTGATCTTTGCATACCTGTTGGGACCTGCCACATACTCATGATATTGCCTCATATGTAGCCAAATCCCAAACTATGCAAAGTGATTGATGACATGAGAACCATAAGTGTCATAAACATACACCTAAGGGTAGCATAAAATACCTCCTTTACCTGTAAGGGGTTAAAAAGCTCAAATAACCTGGTTGGCACCTGACCAAAAGGACCAATAAGAGAAGAAGATACTTTCAAATCTGTGGGGGGAGGTTTTGTTTGTGCTCTCTTTGTTGTGCTCTCTCGGGACAGAGGGAGGGACCAGGCAGGATAAAAAAAACCTCTCCTAAAACCCTACCTGATATAAGCATCTAAGATTACAAAAATTGTAAGTAAAGCAAGGAAATGTGTTAGATTATCTTTTGTTTTAGCTTGCTAAGAGGGAGGTTTATTTCTGTGTTTTGTAACTTTAAACTTTTGCCTACAGGGGAATCCTCTGTGTTTTAAATCTTATTACCCTGTAAAATTACCTTCCATCCTGATTTTACAGAGGTGCTACTTTTACTTTTTTCTTTATAGTAAAGTTCTTCTTTTAAGAACCTGATTGTTCTTTAGTGTCCTAAAAACCCAAGGGTCTGGTCTGTGCTCACCTTGTTTACCTATCTGGTTGGTATATTATTCTTAAGCCTCCCCAGGAAAGCGGGTGAAGGGGCTTGGGGGATATTTTGGGGAACACAGGAATTCCAAGTGGTCCTTTTCCTGAACCTCTGTCTAACTCACTTGGTGGTGGCAGCAATACCATCCAAGGACAAGGAGGAATTTGTGCCTTGGGGAAGTTTTTAACTTAAGCTAAGAAATAAGCTTAGAGGGTCTTTCATGCAGGTCCCCACATATGTACCCCAGAGTTCAGAGTGGGGAGGGAACCCTGACAATAATTCTTTTCAACTGGGACACTTAGTGAGAACTTCCGACTATGGCTGTGGAGTGAAATGGGTACTTGCAGAACTTGTAAAATGCATGGGACCGTTTCATCTGTGGTAAAAATATCCAATGCTATTTTTGGAAACAAAATATGGACCAGTTGCAGCCTCGACTAGTGCTGGAGTCCAGGAATGTCCAGTAGCACTTTCTGATCCTCCGATCAAACCTCCTTTTGTTACAACTCCTAATTTCAATGACTTGCTGATACCAGATCCAGTTGACTCCTTACCACTGACTGTTTCTGTTGTTGGGACACTGCTGCACTGTCATCATTACATTATCTCAAGAGAATGACAAACCAGTGGTGCACTCAGACTTACATTGTTTAGTTAGTGAGGTGCTATTTCAGGCCAGAATAATCCCTTGCAATTTGAGACTCTGCAGTAGTGCACCTGAAACTTTCAGGTTATATAGTGTTTTACGTTAGTCATGTAAGTGATAATATGCGTGTATGTCAAGTTTTAGTTTTTTTCTTTAAGTAGGCTGGAGGAATTTGATGCCCTGTCTCTTTAAATGTTTGAGCACTCTTCACCTCCTCAGTTTCATGTTGCTTTTAGTTTTTCAGTCTGAACAATAAAAGTCTCCGTGGCAGCTAGCTGTGCTTCAATGAGCTCCTCTGTGTCTGTAGCTCCTTTTTCTGCTGGGTCCAAATATAACAGGTCTCTTTTTCTCCCATTATGACCTATTTATCCTCCACCTGTTACCAACAGAGTGCAAATGTGGAGATACAAACTGTGGCTTTTTGTGGTACACATTGTTTTTACAGCTCTTTCTTCTTTTACAAGTTGTTAATTTAACTGGGTACACGCAGGGCCATCCTTAGGATTTATGGGGCCCTATGCAGTATTATTAAATTGGTGCCCCTATACCTGATGGCTGCCGGAGATTCCATGTGTATTTTAGATAAGGGTGGTCTTTTGAAGGATTTATTTAAAAAAAACCTGTATGTCTGAAGATCTAAGCATTTAAGGCTAACAATGAATACTCAGATTGTGCATCTAAAAATCTATGCAAGGACTTTTTAGATATGGGATTTTATAATCTTTGGCAACACAATAATGAAATATTTTAAAGCAAATTTTAAACTAGGGTCCTGTAGACTAACATGTTCTGACTAAATATCACAGTAATGACAGGTTTCAGAGTAGCAGCCGTGTTAGTCTGTATTCACAAAAAGAAAAGGAGTACTTGCGGCACCTTAGAGACTAACAAATTTATTTGAGCATAAGCTTTCGTGAGCTACAGCTCACTTCATCAGATGCATTAAGTGGAAAATACAGTGGGAAGATATATATACACAGATTTATATAAATCTCCCCACTGTATTTTCCACTGAATGCAGCCGATGAAGTGAGCTGTAGCTCACAAAAGCTTATGCTCAAATAAATTTGTTAATCTCTAAGGTGCCACAAGTACTCCTTTTCTTATCACAGTAATGCACAAACTGTTTTTGTCAGTAAATTTAGAAACTGACAGTATGTACCTGGGGGTTGGTAAATGCCTGTTGAATGGCTCTTTAACAGTTTCAGTGTTGTGCTAATAGGTCTAGCAGGCTGGAAGGCTTTTTCACTTTTAAGTATTAGATCCACTCTAGAGGAATACTCACCAGGCTGCAGCAGCCAGTTGTGGCGGGACGATCAGAACAGGGATAGGAAGAGGCAGGAGGGTGGACACTTAGGGTACATCTACATGGGTAGTGATCGATCTATCGGGGATTGATTTATCGCATCTAGTGTAGAAGTGATAAATCGATCCCCGATCGCTCTGCCGTTGACTCCGGAACTCCACCACGGCGAGAGGCGGAAGCAGAGTTGATGGGGGAGCGGCGGCCATCGATCCCGCACCGCGAGGACGTGAAGTAAGTGATTCTAAGTCAATGTAAGATTCTCGTAGCTGAAGTTGCGTAACTTAGATCAATTCCCTCCCCTCCCCCCCCCAGTGTAGACCAGGTCAAGTCCCAGGGGTGCTCCAAATTTTCACATGTGCTGGGTATGCCTAAGGACGGCCCTGGGTACACTGAAATGTTATTAATCAGTGCAAAGTGCCATTTAATATTTAAAAATATATAAAATTATTAATCATTTTCTGTGATGGAGTCATATATATTAAAGAGGTTTATCCCCACTAATAAGAGTTTTAATACCTTTAATTTTAAAAATATTGTACAGTGTGTACTACTCTTGTACAGGTCATCATTCAGTTTGAATAAACTGACTCTCATATCAGGGATTTGTGGATATGGACTTCACAGTAACTAATTAGGATAAATTGTGACTCTAATATACTCAGGAGCTATTAGGCTTTTCCTTTTAGTATCCTGAAGGCAAGCCAAGCACACACAAATCTGGAGCCACATTCTTGGCTGGTATAAATGTGTGTAGCTCCACTGAATCTAATGAGGCTATGTCAATTTACATCAGCTGAGGATAGAACCCAGGATGAATAGGGACTGATCCAGTATGATATAAACATTTGGAAAGACTATTTAGGGATTGTGTTCCTTGCATTATTTGGTTGTTACTTTCTGGCCCATCAGTGTGAGGCTCTCCAATGAACTTCACCCAGCTCCTCCTCACTACAAGGAAGTTCTTGTGAGGAGAGCTGGCTGAAAATTTTCTGACAAAAGTAAGCTTAACTGGAAAATGCTGATTCGCTGGAGCACAACTTTTCACCAAATGTACTGCAGATTCAACAAAACCTTTTACCAAAACATAGTCCCTGGTGTTCCAAGGTCAACAGCTCTGCAACAGAGACCCTGCCAGCCTTCAGAGTCCCAGCTGAAGCTGGGTCTCTGTGGGCTGATAGCCCCTCCCATTCCATGGCAGGGAGCCTGCTACACCTCTGAGCCCCAGCTGGAGTTCTCAGGGTTACTGGACTTCCCACTTGGGCAGGGGCTCTCAGAGTTTCCACTGTCCCTGCTGAATCGGAACAAAAGCAAATTCAGAAATACTGAAATGTTTCCTGAACCGAACCCCCTGAGTTTTGGCCAGCTCTACTTGCAAGGATGCTGGTAAAGAAAGAAGAAGGAAGGAAGTAGTTTTTTTTTTCCTTTGATTCCTAACACCACAAACCCCAACACCAGCCTCCAGTTTGAAAGTATATTTTTTAAAGAGCCCAGACCAGTGTTCATAGGCAACAATTTGACATTCAGAGATCCGACTTGCAGTCCTGAGCTTCTGGGACACACAGGTGGAAAGTTCACCATGACAGAGGGCCTTTGAGAGGTAAAAATTGGGGAATCCTCAGAGCTCTAAAACAGGGCTTGGAAGACTTCTGAGTGGCCGGGGGCACGGGGATGGGGAAGGAAACAGAAGACGTGTGGGGGATTTCATACTCCGTATATGCCAAAGTGCTCTACAAAACCATGTGTTAGATAACAGTAGTGCGGGGACCACACAGGGCAACTTGGCAGCTGGTATGTTTTCAGCAGCAGCACCCCAGAAAATATACACATTAGAAACAAGCTTTTCAGCAGGCATTGATATAATCAGAGGCTGAGAGCTCAAAGTGCTCTTTCTGCTAAATCTTGAGAGTGAACTCAAGTACAAAAATATTGCTTACCAGTGAAATATCTGGTACATCAGTTGTGCATCACCTTGTGATATCATCCCATACAACTATCAGAAAACACAGTGGACTCAGGGTGAATGAACCCTACATTCACCAGCTAGTGCTGGATAAAGGGGACAGATGGCCCAGGGTGATAGCCTAGCACTGGGGAGACCCAGTCCAATGCCCTTCACCACCAGAGTTCTTGTGTGACCTTAGGCAAGTCTGTGCCTCAGTTCCTTCATTTCACAGGGGTTCTGTGAAGATAAATACACTAAAATATTGTCAAATGCTCAAATACTATAGTAATGAGGGCTATGTAATGACCCTAAGTTATTGAGACAATAGAAACAAGTTATTGAGACAATAGAATCATAGAATATAAGGGTTGGAAGGGACCCCAGAAGGTCATCTAGTCCAACCCCCTGCTCGAAGCAGGACCAATTCCCAGTTAAATCATCCCAGCCAGGGCTTTGTCAAGCCTAACCTTAAAAACCTCTAAGGAAGGAGATTCTACCACCTCCCTAGGTAACGCATTCCAGTGTTTCACCACCCTCTTAGTGAAAAAGTTTTTCCTAATATCCAATCTAAACCTCCCCCACTGCAGCTTGAGACCATTACTCCTCGTTCTGTCATCTGCTACCATTGAGAACAGTCTAGAGCCATCCTCTTTGGAACCCCCTTTCAGGTAGTTGAAAACAGCTATCAAATCCCCCCTCATTCTTCTCTTCTGCAGGCTAAACAATCCCAGCTCCCTCAGCCTCTCCTCATAACTCATGTGTTCCAGACCCCTAATCATTTTCGTTGCCCTTCGCTGGAAAAAACTCTTTAGAAAGGGTATGTTTGCAAGGGAATGTTTGGCAGTAGGCCAAACCTGAAAGATTTCCTTGGATATTGGGGGACCCCCCCCCCAAAAAGACAGCAAGAGGAAGTCATGTGTTCCTCTGATAAATCACATATATTAGAGATTAATCCCACCTTTTTTGTCTACTGGAAGAGCAGCTGATTATAGAGACATATTAAAATGAAAATATAACAAAATACATGTTGTGTTACATTGATCGTTATGAAGGCAGCACAAGTTTGGACATTAAAAATGTAGTTGCATCTGCTTCTAATTATTAACTTTTTAAACAGTATTAACTTTAATGAGGTAGCTGCTGTTTTTTTTTTTTTCAAAGATGAGTGCCGCATTGTGAAATGTATAGCTGCAGAAGATCCGAGTTCAAAGAACTGAAGTTTACGAGATAGTCTTTAATATCCCCAGGTATTTGTAGTTAGCATATTTATGAGCTTACATCTCATCAGCACTAAGCCATGAAAAGACATAAACAAAGAAAATAAATAGCTAGAAATGAGGAGGAAAAGCTATTACATTAGAAAAGAACCCTTTAGAGGAGAGAGGGCACAGAAAGAGGATAAAACACAGTCATAACAAGATATTGAAAAGTACCCCTGTGTATAAAATACTGTCAGCAAAAGTAAAAATATCAGCAACAAAATAGTGTAGTTGTAGCCATGTCCTTCCCAGGATATTTGAGAGACCGGGTGGGTGAGATAATATCTTTTATTGGTCCAACTTTTCTTGGTGAGAGAGACAAGCTTTCTAGCCACACAGCTCTTCTTCAGGACTAGAAAGGTACTCTGAGCTTCACAGCTAAATACAAGGTGGAACAGACTCTTTAGCCAAGGTAGAGAGACCCATTAATGCCTCTTCAGTCATAAGACTGGAAGTGGGGGTTCGTGGCTTACAGGTTGTTGTAATAAGCCATACATCCAGTGTTTGTCTAGTCCATGATTTTTAGTGTCTAGCAGAGTTATGAATTTAAGTTCTGAGGCTCATCTTTTTAAAGTGGTGTGTGCAGATTTCCTTTGAGGATGAGGACTGATAGGTCAGACATGGAGTGATTGCTTTGTGAAAATAAAATATATTAATAGTAATAATATCAATAAAAAAAAGATATTACCTCATCTTCCTTGTTGCAGCAACTAAATAGAGCACTTTAAGAGCTCAGCAGGCTTTCCCTTACACAAACGGTATACACCTTTTCAAAAATAGAGGGGATGCACAACGACATGGATGATCATTATCTAAAGAGTGAAAATGTAGTATGTATAGTGGTATGCAATTTAATATATATGCACATACATATTACACTCACATTAGAAAGTTACCACTTCCAAGAATCTAGGCTGACTATAACACATAATTTAACTGCTGCTATAGTGAGTTGGCCAGATCCCCATTAAGGCCCCTGTCCAGCAACACAATTAAACACATGCTTAACTTTAAACAGGTGGGTAGTCCTACTAAAGTCGATGGGACTACTTTCATGCTTAAAGTTAAGCATCTGCTTAAGTGCTTTCCTGCATTAGGGCCTATTTCTTCCAATGTCTATTGAACCCCTTCCTCTCCCTATCAGCTGGAGAAGCCCTATTTTTAAATCGCAGCCTCCGTACCTCACTTGCACTCACTCACGTACGTAGGTATGCTTTAAGGTGGGGAGATAGGTAGCAGGCAACTTGGTAGCAGGACCAGGGTGTTCAGAGAGCTTAAACCTCATGAGACACACTCTTGCTGCCCAGCTCTTTCAGACCATTCCTCCATCTTTCTGAGTTGGGTGTGAGCAGCTGCAGCAGCTGCCCAGGCTGTTCCTGCTTCTCCTTCCAACTACGGAAAACGTGCAGGGAGAATAAAAGCAACTGTGCCTGCCACTAAAATTGAAGAAAAGAAAAAAAAAAGAACGTTCTGCTGCTGATAAAGCACCCCCACCTCACAAATGTCCCTAACAAGAGTTATTATCACCAAGGATTGTAAAGTAGAGACACCCAGGCGCTGGGAAATTTTAGGGTGGATACAGAGAGATAAGCAAACTGTAAGATAAGCTCTGACCAGGGAATTTTTGCTGACCATATGTACAAATAAGTTACAATTTGGGCATGAACGATCAAATATATATATTAAAAAAAATTTGGAAGGAGAATACATAGGTGTCAGCATGTGTTTGGTTAATTTTTTTGTTATTTAGGGGTGTAGGATAATGTGATAGATTTAGTAAATTTGAAGGAGGTAGGTAGTTTTTACCTATATAATATAAATGAAAAACAAAACTCTTTGGTAACGATCACCGAATGCAGTTCAACATCAAGCTGCTAGAATTCTTACCCCTCTGCATGACCGTGACGTGCAGAGGCATCGCTGGGAACCCCAGACAAGTGGATCCTGACTGGCCATTGGGTGAAATTTGTCTGTATACTGGCAGCGGTGAGCATAAGATATTTGCTTGGTGTATGTATTCTCTGTGTGTTGCTAATAAATAGATGTTTAGAGCACAGCTCTTTAAGATTCTTTCACTGGGAAAAGGTCCCGCAGACCCATAGAGCCCTGAGTCCCATGGGTAAGGGTAGGTGCCCTATGTCCCAAGCCCTCAGAAGGGAGAGGGCTAGTTAGTTAACATCCATTACGTCTCTGGCATTGAGGGAAATGATGAAGTTCTCCACTCCTGTCTATTTCTGGCAAGCCTTTCAATGGTTCCCTAGCTGTGCCCTAGGTTTTTCAGCTCAGCTTCCACAGCTCTTCACCATGTTGTTTTCAGGCGGCCTCATTTTCATTTGCCTTCAGGTGTCCATCTTATTGCTACTCTGGTGATATCATTTTCTACCTGAAGCACATGGCCAATCCATCTCTAGTGGCTGCTAGTAATGATGGTGCTCATATCCTCTTGACTGCACTGTGTCAATAGATCTTGGTTTGAGATTCTTCTGGGCCAAAAGATATGGAGGATTTTTCTGAGGCAGGTTATATGGAATGATGACAGTTTGGACATGTCCTACTTTCTCATTCCCCAGCATTCTGCACTACAAAGTAGTATTGAAAGTATGCAGCTCTGATACATCTTGAGTTTGGTTTTGGTGTTGTATTTTGATGATTTCCAGACTGTATTTAAGCTCCTGAAGGTGTTCCTGGCTTTTTTTACTCTGTTCTGAAAGGGTGGTGGTGCTTAAATTGACCTGGCCATGCCTTGAGCTCTCGACAGGGCAGGGATCGGTAACCTGCGGACGCTGCAGGTAAACAAACCGTCCTGGCCCGCCAGTGGATTTCCCATCCCATCCCATCCTGAGGAACAGTCCACTTGAGCAATTTTGGAGACAGCCACTCCTGCAGAGTTTCAACTTGTAAAGGTTGAAAAAAATCTCAGAAATGAAAGTAAATATTGATTTTTGTAAACTCTGGGGAGAGGAGTCAGAGTATAATACTCTAATTTTTTGAGGGGGGCATTGTTTTTTTCAAAGTCAATGTTCTTTAAACTGACCAGGTTCAAAATCTCACTCAACTTTTAAATGAAGCTAGAATATCAGATTGTGGAATATGGTAAGAAGGAGCTTGAGGATGAAGCATGCTAATTTCTGGGTTCACAGAATCTTTGCTGAAAAGGCATACGCCCTTCAAAAGGAATAGACAACGAAAAAGAAAAGTGAGTTTCAAGACCTTTATACTCCACCAAAATTTTCCTCCTCAAAAGAAAGTGGGTAGTCAGTGATGCCTGTGGTAACAGTATGCTCCTATATAGCAAGTGAACGATTATGATCCCAATATGAGATATTAACTTCAAATGGGAGGTCAGCTGAACAAATATCAAGATGGAGAAGAGGTGGACTCATCTTTTAGTGCATTCAGGAAGTTGTATATTGCTGAATTATTCATCAGGGAGTCAGGCAGAGGTGAAGGCTGGGTAAAATGGGGAGTAGACTGATAAAATAGACTGCTTCTCCATTTCTTCAAGGGATTTGACAACATAAACAGAACAATGGGATATTTATGAACAAAACAGTGTTAGAAGCCACTCCTTTCCACCTCCACTTCCAAAATCCCTTGGCCTAATCAGGCTATATCTTGCTTATATCTATACTGCAGCTGTCTCCTCTCTGATTTCCCAAAGAGCCAACTTGTCCCTGTTTAGTATGTCCAAAATGCTGTCACGAAAATAATCTACCTTGCCTGCTGTCTTGACCAAGTTTTCCGCTGCTGGAATCCCCTCACTGGAATCTGCTTCCCTGACTGTTGGATCAGGTTTATATTTTTAAAGGTGTTTAAGCACCTAGAGATACAGATGGGTGCAGAGTGGGATTTTCAACATTGTCTTGGCACAAAGGACTAGATAACCAAAGATATTTAGATGCCTAACTCAATGGGAGGTAGGTCCCCTAAATACCTGTGATGATTTGGGCAATAATTCCTATTAATATCAATGGGGTTTCCAAGAGCTCTTAGATGAATATCTGCATCTTTAGGTATCTAAGTATTTTTAGTAATTTGGTCCTTGGTCCTCCCCTTCAAGGTCCTAGACAACCTGGTTCCCATCTATTTGTCACCTGTTTCTGTTGCGCTACTAGTTCCTCTTATTCCAATGGGGGCGGGGAAGCGGCACGGGCCGAGGAATGTGCTGGCCGCCGCTTCCAACAGCTCCCATTGGCATGGAGCGGTGAACTGCGTCCAGTGGGAGCTGCGATCGGCCAAACCTGCAGATGTGGCAGGTAAACCAACTGGCCTAGCCCGCCAGGGGGCTTCCCTGGTAGGCTGCATGCCAAAAGTTGCCGATCCCTGGTCTAGATAATACTTAGTCCTAGTATGAGTGCAGGGGACTGGACTAGAAGACCTCTCGAGGTCCCTTCCAGTCCTACAATTCTATGAGCATCACTCCTGAGAAAAGGAAGCTAAAAGGAGAAAAGGACCTAGGGGTTATGGTGGACGAGAATCTGGATATGAGTCAACAGTATGCCCTTCTTGCCAAGAAGGCTGATGGCATTTTGGGCTGTATAAGTAGGAGCATTGCCAGCAGATCGAGGGATGTGATCATTCCCCTCTGTTCGGCATTGGTGAGGCCTCATCTGGAGTACGGTGTCCAGTTTTGGGCCCCATGCTACAAGAAGGAAGTGAAAAAATTAGAAAGAGTCCAGCGGAGGGCAACAAAAATGAGTAGGGGGCTGGAACACATGACTTATGAGGAGAGGCTGAGGGAACTGGGATTGCTTAGTTTGCAGAAGAGAAGAATGAGTGGGGATTTGATAGCTGCTTTCAACTACCTGAAAGGGGGTTCCAAAGAGGATGGAGCTCGGCTGTTCTCAGTGGTGGCAGATGACAGAACAGGGAGCAGTGGTCTCAAGTTGCAGTGGGGGAGGTTTAGGTTGGATATTAGGAAAAACTTTTTCACTAGGGGGGTGGTGAAGCACTGGTTATCTAGGGAGGTGGTTGAATCTCCTTCCTTAGAGGTTTTTAAGGTCAAACTCAACAAAGCCCTGGCTGGGATGATTTAATTGAGGATTAGGTCCTGCTTTGAACAGGGGGTTGGACTAGATGACCTCCTGAGGTCCCTTCCAACCCTGATATTCTATGATTCTATGATTCTAAATTAAGAATACTCAAATTGTAATTTAGGCAGAATATGGAGGTGAATGTCTTTACTCTTTAGAAAAGTGCCAAAGGTTCTTTAGCTACCATAAGTGATTGGGTTTACATTTTACCAGATTTCAGTTTATGGGATATTTTTCTATCTCTGAATTTTCAACCTTATCTGTTGTTGGGTTTAGAATTTCCCTGTCTGGACAGATACTGGGCTCAATTTTCTTCTTACTTACACTAGTTTTACACCATTGACTACCTACAGAGTTACTCATCAGGTACAGTTTTGTAAATGAGAACAAAATCAGGCCTACTGAGCTCCCCCCTTTCCAGTCGCCAAATAATAATTGTTTAAAATTACAACTGTTTCCTAACTAACCAAGAATTAGAAAACAGGAATTGCATCTTCAAAAGGAAGGGTATTCACTTCAGTTGACCAAGATACTGTCTTGAATTTCAATGGTCTGTAATCAGCTATTCACTTTGGCCACTAGATATTTTCTTCTGCTTTTCTTTTTTTATTCTCTTTGTAGTTGCAGAACTGTAACTGGCTATTTGCTTCAGTTAAGCAATTTCTTTCAAAAGTGATTCCAGGTATCATTCCCTCTCATACTAGGTTACAGCAACTGTACTGAATCTGGGGAATCCAAACCCTATATTCTCATCAGTTTTGAAGAATGATTACTGCTGCTCTGAAGTTGATTTAATTTATAAAATACAGTTATAAAATATACATAGATGTATATTTCACAGGAGAAATGTGTGTGGAGAGATATGCACATTTTAGAAAGGTTTTCAAAGATGCTATTTAGGATTCATCACTAGACAGCTGTGACTATCCTACTTGCAAAGACAAAATTAATTTACCTGGTGTTACAAAAGACCTGAAGTGGGGGTTTTGTTTGTTTGTTTTTTCCAGTATAATGTCACTGACATGGAGGATAAGAAAATTAATGTAGATAAAATAATAGCAATCCAATCATTCAGCCAAATTCCAAAAGTTTTATGAATCAGAACCTCAGAAAAGTAAAATATCTTTTTTTCTTTTTGATTTTTGCAAAAATCAAAATGAGAGAGCACCTGAGTACCAGAACAACAACTATTCTGAGATATTCCCCCTGACCTGGTTGAAACCAGCAAGTATTAAAAATCTCCTGAAAATGTACATAGTCATGAGATTTGTAGCCTGATTTTCCAACCGAAATGGTTCAGGCAGATTTCTTTAAACTTCAGAGCAGCACTGAAAGTTATCAGAATGGAACCAATAGTAACATCTATGTAGGTGAGTGGAACGCAGTAGTCACCATCAGCTTTTAAACAGAAGAGATATGCTGTTGGCATTCAACCTATAGTATCTAGCATCTACTTGGGGCCTGGCCTGGCCTGTACTGTATATTCAGGAGCAATTCCTGCACGCATTTGACCCACTAGTCAGAGACACAGGCCCAATTATAGATGGGGAGGACGCTATTTAGAACTATTTATGCAAAGCTTGCCGCTGAGCTCTCCTGCTGCATTGTTCTTTTCTACAATGTTAATGCTACTCTTTCTTATCCTTTATGCAGCAATGACTGGGAAAGAAGGCAGGGCAGCAGGTCCAGCAGTGTTCCTTGGAGTAGGACCATTAGGAAATGTTATGAGATAACAATATGACTGTATGAGCGCATATACAGAGGTAAAAACTTGAGAGCTAGTAGACATGATTTATTTATTTATTTATTTATGTAGCGGTGATGCTTAACACTGTAGACATGTAACTCTCAGTAGTACACTTTGTTTCTTCTAGGCACTGGCCAACATCAGTGAGCTAGGGTAGGTGTCTGCATATTTACCTTATAAATGTCACCAGCAAAGCAGTAGACTGGACTATTTTTTATCTTTACTGAGGAAAAATTTTGAAAATAGCCAGCTATTCTTGCCATTTAAATGTCTGCACAAAAAACATCTTCCCACTCCCTTGATCCTGGAATCAGTGTGGGAGCCAAAAAAATCCCCTGAAACTCTGTAGTCTGAAGCAGAGCACAGTCTCTTATGAACTGCTCCACCACCACTGCCAGGGATCACTAGTGTGCATCACACTGTGGCTCTGCCCCTCGGGTACACCAACAGATGATCCCTATAACAAGTGAGGGACACCAAGGACAGGTCTACACTACGGGGCTAAGTCGACCTAAGTTACGCAACGCCAGCTGGAGACAATGTATCTTAGGTTGACATATTGCAGTGTCTACACTGCACTGTGTCAATGGGAGAAACTCTCCCTTCGACTTGCCTTATGCTTCTCATTCCGATGGAGTATCGGAGTCAATGGGAGAGCGATCGGCGGTCGATTTAATGGATCTTCACTAGACCTGCTAAACCAACCCCCAGTGGATCGATCACTCTGTGTTGATCCCCTGGTAAGTGGAGACAAGCCTCAAGTCACATCACCCCAGGATTCTCCCTATATCAGGGGAATTATCAGTTGCCCTTTTAGGAAAGCTCTGTATTCCCTTTGAATTGCTGGAGCAGGACAAAAGAGACATACCTAGAGCTCAGAATCTGGCCCTAAGAATGGAAAATTCCACAAGGTAATTCAAAAGTTGAATTCAATTAAGATAGAAAATTATAATGAAACCTTCATGTAGCATTAACTGTGCCTACCACCCTAGCTATAACATAATGCTGTTTACAAATTTGTTGTATTAAAAGAATTTGGCAGTATATAAAGTTAGGTTGTATTAAATCAGAGCAAAGCTGTTCAAAAAGAACGACTTGGAAGCATTACAATATATCTGATAATATACAGGAGGATGCTAGACCCTAAAAAGTTCCCTTTTTAATATGTATACTTGACATTATTAGTTACAGTAGGAATTATGCACATGTATCAAGGGTATAGTGGAACACTGACATACTTCAGTTTGACACTTAAACTGTCCAGACATTGACATCAAATGCATCTTTTTCTCATAGACTTTAAGGTCAGAAAGGACCATTGTGATCATAGAGTCTGACCTCCTGCACATTGCAGGCCACAGAATATCACCCACTCGCTGACCCTATCCTCTGGCTGAGTTACTGAAATCCTCAAATCATGGTTTAAAGACTTCAAGTTACAGAGAATTGACCATTTACACTAGTTTAAACCTGCAAGTGACCTGTTCCCCTGCATTGCAGAGGAAAATGAAAACCCCCAAGGTTCTCTGCCAATCTGACCTGGAGAAAAATTCCTTCCTGACCCCAAATATGATGATCAGTTACACCTTGAGGATATGGGCAAGATTCACTAGGCAGATACCTGGGAAAGAATTCTCTGTAGTAACTCAGAGCTTTCCTCAACTAGTGTCCTGTCTCCAGCAGTTGGGGATTTTTGCTACTGGCAGTCATTGATGGGCCACATGCCATTGTAGGCAGTCCAGTCATACCATACCAACCATAAATGTATTAAGCTCAGTCTTGAAGCCAATTAGGTTTTTTGCCCCCACTCTTCCCCTTGGAAGGTTGTTCCAGAACTTCACTCCTCTGCTGGTTAGAAAGCTTCACCTAATTTTGAGTCTAAACTCACCAGAAAGTTGTTTTAAAATGTTTTAACAGTAGAAATAAACTGCACAGTAAAGCTGATTTTCCCTCCACTCTCCCCCAAAAATTAGATTCCTGGCCTCAACAGGAAGCAAGAAGCATCAACCCACAGTGAAATTTTCCATTGGATGCACACTGATTGGACATTTTTTCCAAGAGAACACCTCCCATCCATCACCTAATTTATCTTCTTTAAATCACAAATGTGGCAGGAATGAAAATAGTATGGTGATGGGAATGCATAAAAACAGGAGAAACATTAGAAAGACAGAAAAGTTCATGGCCCCTCAATGCACATTACTTATATATTTTATTTCTCAGAGTGGGATTATTATTCCTTGAATGATGCTGGCATTTCTAACTCCACGTGTGCTAGGCACTTCTGCACATTTATTATTCTTCAGGTGAAAAAGTACTTCTTAAAGTCTATTCTGAATTTATTTCTTTCATTTCCACTTAGGCGCACCAATCCTGTCATCTGAAATCAGCTAGAAATAGTTACTTGGACTGCTATTCTCCACTCAATTTAACACTGTTGGTATTTTAATGTGGTCTCACTCTTTTTTAAACCATATGCTCTTTTTAAGAGTATACAGGGTTCATTCTTTACAATCTTTACCATTTGTAATGAATTAATTAATGTTACTGTGGTATTCTTATTTTACCAATAGAGAATACCATTACTACTATATAATGTGAAAGAGGTAAAAGCTGTAGTGATTTTGTGGCAAACACTGTATCTCTGGTTAATTGTAGAAATGATTAACAGCTTATCAGGAATTCAAGGCACCCTTAATAAAAGGGGACAGTGAAAAAGTTTTTGTTAGTGTGTTGGAAGGAAGATTTTTCTCTCCATCACTAATCATGAATATCAGATTCCCAATATCAATCATTTTGGAGATAAAAGCTTTACTTCAAAATACTAAAGAAGAGAAGTATTTTAAGCCAAGGCTGCTGCTTTTTTTTCTTTTTCTTTCTTTTTTTTTTTTTTTTTTTGTGGTTAGCAGGTCTCCAATATTATATGGCTCTCAAGGACAAAATGATTGAGCAAATGGGCTGCTGTCTGTAAAGATTAAGAGAAAGAAAGTGGAAAGGCAAAGTCACAGAAGATCTGAAGGAGAATTAAAGGAGTTGAAGCTCAATTGCTCCCACTGACCTTCCTTTCCCAATGAAAAATAATTAGCTAGTGAAGAGAATATGAGCTATTCATGGAAGAAGAGTAGGGATATTTTGGTCAATGCCAATGTCTTATTAAGACTTGTAAGCAATTCATGGAAGATGAAATGTCAGCTGTAGCCATCAAAAAGAAGACTGAATAGAGTATATGATAACTCATTTGGACTGGATCAATCCAGGATTAATTGCAAAGGTTTATAGCTACTGAAAGGACTAAGGGTGAAATTTTGGCCTTGCTGAAGTTAATGGGAGTTTTATAGTGGCCAGAATTTGACTCTAGCTTTTTGCTGCCTCTATAACAGTGGTTTTTCAACCTTTTTTTTTCATTTGCAGACTACTAAAAAATTTAGAATGGAGTTGCAGACCCCTTTGGAAATCTTAGACATAGTCTGCAGAACTGCAGGGGTGTATGGCCCACAGGTTGAAAACTACTGCTCTACACCAACATCATGGCTGGTGAAGGGATGCAGAGATTGTTACTGCTGCTACAGGGAAAAATAAAAAGATTTAGCAAGACTGCATAGGACTTGAAATTGTGGATCATCAGCTCTCTATCATCATTAGTGTGTTCTTTGATGATTTTTAGATAAATTCAAGAAGAACATTTTTGTGATAGCATATGTGACTGCATTTTTAAGTCACCTGCATGTCCCTGCTGATCATCCAAGGCAAGAACTAATAATGGTGAAATCCTGTCTCCATCCAAGTCAATGGCAAACTCCCATTGACTTCATTAGGACCACAATTTTACCCTCACGTTTAGATTTTCTAAGCTCATATAGATTTTATTTAAGATACAATACTTAAACCCACTGTTGACATAGACCACCTAAAAGAGATCTAGCCAACTCTCTGTAAGAGTGATGTTCTTGAAAATTGTTGACCCTGCATAAAGAGCCAAAGGTGCTTAGTTATGTAGAACATAACAAGCTTTTAGACTGTAAACACTTCAGGACAGTTATAAAGAAGACCAAATCTTCTTTTACATTTGCAAAGCACCTAGAAAACTTGATTTAAAATAAAATGTGCTGAGTCAATTTCTCCACTTCTAGGAGAGTGGGGATAAGGGAATTCTCTAGAAACGGGCTAGTGAATATGTTGCCTGTTGGACCTTATGACTAATTTGATCACCAAATCACATTATATGCCACAGCACTACCTTTGGACACAATACCATGTTAGTTCTGCAACTTTTTTCATCCTCTGGTCCAAGGCATAAGAGCAAGATCCTTTACCATAGAATCATCTCCCTTTCTAATCCCATCATTCTCTATATGTTTCATTCCGTGGACAACCGGGGGTTGGTGGACCACTCTGGATGCACAGAAAACATTTTGAAAATCACTACCAGTTTTATATACCTTTATCAGTTTCTCAGATGCCAGTGAAAGATGCAGCTTAGTTACTTCTACTTCACTTATTCTTTTATTTTGCATAAGCATCAAGTGGTACGACATCCTCCTGAAATCAAAATCTTCAAAACTACCATAATTCACAGTGCTAGAAAACATGGAAAGACAAGGTAAATACAGCTTACGATGAAACTTCTTTAAAAAATTCTAACAAATGAGGGAAAGAATTTCTTGACCCTACAACTTTCATGTTAGAAATTATTATAGGTTTTTTTTTTAAAAAAATTGCTTGAAATATATTCAATGATGAAAAAGAGAAAAAGATTGCAAGAAAAGATTAAAATGGAACCTCTATTCTACCATCCTCCCAGTTCTGATTAGAGCAGGACCCATCTAGATGGCAAAACTAATTTTCTATGGAAGGAAGGAAGCAATGTATGATGAAACCATACTCCATCGACATACCCAAGACATGATTTCTGTTCATTCACAAGTGTGGTTTATCTATATTCTGTTAGGACATTGACAGATAGATTCAATAGATGAACATAGATGGAAATGCACAAAGACAAGAGTTGATTGTTGC